GTATGGATGCCAAAAATTTGACAGAATGAGAAAAATATGGAGAAACTGTTTTTGTTGTATCTAATTAATGTTAATTAAGTCTCAACTAAAATTAGCTTACTGACTTAGAAAGTAAATCCTGAGCACTATATCTTCATGGGTTCTTCTTCTCCATTCTAAACTCTGCTCTTGAAGGCTATCAGTTCAAGGGACTATCGCCCTCCGTCTCTCCTTCTGTTTTGGTATGTCTGCCATGGTTATTTCACAGTGTCCATTATGTTTGCAAGCATAGAAAACAATTTTAAGAACAACCTGCCTAACATCCATTTTGCTTCTTTCCTGGAAATTTATCCAGATTCTCCTCCCTGCCTTACCAAAGGGCCATTTCCACTGTTTTCCTGCAGTGTTTTGGCTGATCAGATTAGTTGAACAGAAGTCTTAAATGGAAGGTTGGGCACATCCTTTGCTAACACCCACTCATCTTTCTGGTTTCCACACCTTTTCCACAGAGTCTCCTTCCACCTCAGCTCCCCACCCAGTTGGCCAGTTACCCACTCACCCTGGGAGAGATCTAGTTTGCGTTGGTGGAAACTGTAATCTGATCACTGCATGACTGGTTCAGACCTCACTGGGTATAAAGCATGAACAAAGACACCCATCTGTGCTGCTTCTTCACTGAGAACTTGCTTTCCTGGCATGTTCCCCCCAAATTATGCCAAATAGAGCGGATTGTCATCACAAATGGAATTCTCACCTTCAGAATAATCAAATTATCCAGCAAAGCCTTGTCTTGCTCCTTCCACTGTTTTTGGAATTGAAAGCAATCCAGCTGTCTCTAAGGACAAAAAAGAAAACAAACATAAAAATAAACCATTCTTACATTACAAAGAGTGGGGGAAATTGACCATTTTTTTAATACTAGAAATTTCATACAAATGGTGAGCTAATTTATATTTTCATTTTGACATTTATTTTCCCAGTAGGAGCGCAATTAAGCCATATTTTAAGTCTGTTCAAAGTGGCCATCATCTGAAAATGTTGTAGGCATATCTGTAGATAATGTTCTCACCCAATTGGCATGGGTTAAGGACTCAGGAATGCTAGCTCCCCTTCTCCTAGACCACCTCAACCAAGGGGCACTTGGAATATGAATCTGCTGCATGAAACTTGACTTCCTATCCTTCCTGCTTCCCACCCCTCCCCACTCAGGGCTACTTTCTACAGAACTGGCAAAGGGATCTTCCTTCATTGTAAACTTGGCCATGCCAGCCCCTGCTTAAATAAATCTTTCGGGACTGCATATGGCCCTCAGAATTGAGTTAAAACTCTACTATTAGCAGGTTGTCAAAGTCGTCCTTGACCTGATCCTGCTTACTCTCCCTGCCTCAGTCCTGGTCTCTCCCATTCTCTGCACTCTGCCCTGGAGTCATACTAAGCCATGTATCTTCCCAAGATGTGACTCTCCCTCTCACTGCCCACTCTGCCTGGAAAACCCACTGCCCCTCTTCATCTGACTCATGCCTTCTTTTCCATTTTGACTTACAGTTTAGTTGCAATCCAGTGATAACACTATTTTGCCATATTAAAATATGGCCAAAGATGCTTTTACCTAAAGCTTTTAGAAAGCTGTAGCTTCACTGATTGTTCTCCTGTTTGCCCATGATTTTCAGTCTTACCGAACATGTTCCTTCTTAGATATTTTCCCATGTTGTCCAATGAAAACACATATTAAAATTCTACAACTACCTAACCTTACAAAAAGATCAGCAATCCCAAAAGACAAATACTTTGCTCAAATTGCTGAAAGCAATCTACCCACGAGAACTGATTCTTTTTCACATATGACAGAACTTTTCACTGAAGTGTCTCACTAACTCTGGCCACATCCATATGTGCTCCTGTCATGCCCTGTCACATACACTCCAGCTCTGGAACACCAATCTCCAAAACTCGATGTGTTCTATTTCATTTATTTATTCCACAATGGAATAAATTCTAACACCTGAACTACAAAATTGAGTTATTATCCAAATGTTAAAGAAGGTGGTAATATTAAGCGTCAGAGGAGATACAGATATTGTGAGAATCATCTGAGATTTCTTAGTGTTTACAACAAAGACAAAATAGAAGAATGCTATTCAATTCAATCTTTGAATGCTCTTCTCAGTTTAGAGGTTATCCCGGTTTGGGGAATAATAAAAGGAAGAGAATTTGTCCTTTGTTCTGGAAGCAAATAGCCTTAAAGAAGGATGAGTTTCAGAGCAGTGGGCCCCAGACCAAGGTGGTCAGCAGTGCTTCCAAAATTCAGTCTGGAGTTGGCAGGTACTTTGCTCCCACTGTACTTGCTACCGGGACATCTTTTCGTTTCCTCCTCCAGTGGAGTGTCACTTGCCTGAAACAGTTTTTGAGTAACTTGCTTTAAGGATGTTTTCCACAGAGTACTACTCCTATCCTTTGAGATTTGAATTTAATTTTGTAAATGGATTGAGTTTTCTTTTCTTTTTAATGAGAGCCCTTGTTGTCATATCATCCATCACTTTATCCTTCCATATTTGTGCACCTTTTATTCACGTCACCCATTTATTGACCTGGAGAAGGAAATGGCAACCCACTCCAGTATTCTTGCCTGGAGAATCCCGTGGACAGAGGAGACTGGAGGGCTGCTGTCCATGGGTCACATGGAGTCGGACATGACTGAAGTGACTTAGTATGCATTTATTGACCACATTGTTAACTATTATAATTTTTTCTTTTATATATTTAAACAAAATTAACTCTTTCCCATAGCTTTCTTAATCAAGGAAATTTCTATACTAATTTATTTAAAGCCTCATAAATCTAACCACTTCAATACATTTTGCCTGCTTACTCTACTAGTAGACAAAGAACAAAATGCATTGATGGTTTTTCCTTTTAAAAGAAAGTTTAAATTTAGAAAAGTTGGGCAAAACCAAATGCAATGTCTTACTGTTTTTTATTGCTTCATTGTTCTGAAGCAAAATGGCCCCTGCATGCTTGATATAATTAATTAGACCCTTAATTTAGGCATAAGCAGCTTGGAGCTGGCTCTAGCGGCAAGCAGGGGCCCCACCATTTCAAAGCTGGGTTACTCTCAGCAAGTTACAAAGCAAGTATGGGCTTCAGTGTCTTTCTTGGTCAAATATAATTGTTGGGAGCAGAAAATGAGAAGACACCTAACAAAGCACTTTATTAACTTCTTCTCTAGCCCTCCTTCTCCTGCCTTTTCAACAAATATTTCAGGAAGAGTTAATGAGAACCAGATGATAAAGCCACAAATATCATCCTTGATCTCCTGTTCCTAAAAAAAAAAAAAAAAAAAATTAACTGGAATTGAGTAATTAACCCCCATTATTTTTTTTTAAAAAATGTGGATATGTGGATCATGTATGTCTACTGCTAATATACATAAATGGTGAGAGTTTGTTTGACCCAGACATGCCACTGGTTTTATAGAATATTAGTGCGCAACTGTTAATCTGGAATTGTTCCATAGTCTTCAATTTTGATTACCAAATTTGGAGTCGAATGGAGTTCTGACTGTAATCACAAGAAACTCAAATACAGGAAGATGCTTTGTTTTTAGTTCTACTAACAGCAGATTAGTCAGTAAGTACTTAGGAGGACGCTTTCCACCTAGCGTCAGACTTGGGAATGCCTAGGCTGTTTTTCACAAACAAGCTAACCAGGCAGAGAGGCATTTTCAGCTGAAGAATCCTATAGCATGATCACTTTAACTGTAGTTACCTATTTGGATATCATTTTCTTTCTTTTTTAAAAATACTTATTTGTTTCTTACGGCACACCGACTCTCTAGTTTTGGCCCCTGGGCACCAGAGTGTGCAGGCTCGGTCGTTGCTGCCCGTAGGCTTAGTTGCTTTACAGCATGTGGGATCTTCATTCCCTGACCAGGGATGGAACCTGCATCCCCTACATTGCAAGGCAGATTCTTAACTACTGGACCAGCAGAGAAATTCCTGGATACCATTTTCAGTTGTTTACTTTTCAATCTCTTTTCTGACATCCTGCAGACATGAATGTCAGGACATTAGGGAGATCCAAGACCTAATTTTTACCACGGAGCTTGAAGTAATTTTGATGAATTCCATAGATGAAAGATGGCTATCAGTCTTCAGCTAGAAATGTAGAGCCTCGGTATCTGAGGAAGTTGTAATAATCTCTAGTCTAGTCACATATTTGAAGCTTAAATTTGCTCCAGTACTTCCCATCAAGTGAGATTCAACTCTTCAGAGTATCCTTAGACAGCTCTGGCTACTAAAAAATTCTTCCTTCTCTTTAACCCCCATTTCTTCTACCCTTGGCTCCAGCCTCTGTTGGGGATGTAAGAAGCAGCTCTACTCAAACTTACAATGGTGCAAACTTCTTGAGAGCGGGAACTATATCCACTGTAGCTTCTAGTAACTTGATATGTGATTGCTGAATGACGTTCAAAACAGATTTTGTTCTTCATTTTGATATATATCTCACAAAAGAGCAAATCATCAGTATATTTAAGTTCTGAGAATGGATCACGTAAAATCACTGATTTTATTATCTAAATGCTACAGCTGATATATTTTATTCTCTCAATTTTCTAATTCAAGCAATTTTTATCTATCTTATGCACTGCAGTTTCCCTTCATTATAAAATAACATAATGACACTACAGATATTTATTAGACATCACATATGCAGGACAGACTGTCTCAGGCCCAGAGGAGTTGAAACCCTACTGAAGTAGGCATTCTGGGTTCCAGCACCACTAACATCTGAGTGACCCTGACTCCTGATTCCTCTTCTGCAAACTGCAAGGGTTGAACCAAATGTTCTCTTAAAGTTATTTCCATCTTCACAAACCATTTGCACTTTTGACTCATTTGTCCCTGTCAGAGAACACAGACCTCTGATTTCCAGTTCAGTCATCAATTTATATTGCCAATAACTGTCCATATGTACACTATTAAAAGCTATGGCTGCTTTTCCTTTCCTTTTTCTCATTTCAGAACACTTTTCTTCAGGAAACAGTGCGTAGAGAGTGTGAAGAACGGTTTGAACTGACGGAGGCGTTGAGTCAAGCCAGAGAACAACTCCTGGGGCTCCGGAAGCTGAGCGGACAGTGGCCGCCGTCGCTGCGCTCCCTCCAGGGCAGCCTAACCTCTGCTGCAGCCGGGGGTGGCCAGGGAGAGAGAAGGCTTGCCAGACTGCACTCTGAGAAAGTAATCAAAACCCCTGGCCTGCCCGGAGTGTCGCAGCCCACCACTTCTCCAGCCTTTCCTCAGCCCAAGAGGGTCAGCAGCTCAGGTTTGCCCACAGTCTCCCAGCCACATCCTCCCCGGGGTCGACCGTCTTCAGTCAGTGAGACCAGGCAGAGACTGGCTGCTATTCTGAGGAGGAGACTGAGCCAGCAGTGATGGAGCCGAAGTCAGGAGCAGCTCCACACACAGTGTCTATCTTTCCCGGAGTCCAGAGCCCCACTGTAATTAAGAATGACAAACTTCAAATATTTACCGCAGATGGAGAATGCATACTTAAAGATAGTTTTAATAATTGGACAAGCTAACGAATTTTGAAGCCACATTTTCTAAGAGGCCTTTGAAACTGCAACAGATAATGAAGTTGTTGGTATTCCAGAGACCCAGTCTCTGTATTTATGTATTGTGTGTTTCGATGTGCTCTATGAATATGCTCTTTTAGAGAGCATAGGTAAAAATTTTCACCCATTGCATCTTTTCTTCTTTTTTGCACTATTACAAGAAGATCTATTTCTACACACACACACACACACACACACACACACAAATAGATTGTATTGGTTTTGTTGGTATTTGTTCATTTGTTTGTTGAGTTGAATAGGTTAAATAGATGTAATTAGCATTCTAAATAGCAAATGAAAGGACTTTAGTCTTTAATTTGATCATTTTTAAACTGCTTATTAGTTCAAATATTCGCAAACTTCATCATCACCAAATTTTCTCTATTTCACCTCACAATCGGTTAATCTAATTTCTTTTTAAGCAAGGTCAGATGGAATGATAGGTAATCTTCAGGAAGACAAAGGGACAGACACTCCTATTCAAGAAAAAGGGGGGTTATTTCTAAAACTATGGAGATGATTTTAGATGACAAGGAGCCTAGCCATGAAAGTATTACTTGGGAGAGATTTTCTCCATTAAATGGTCTCTGGTACTCCAGGTCAAGTTTTGGCTTTAACTGGTATTCTGTAGCTATTGTGTAGAGAACTAATTCAAGACAGTTTAGTAGAGGCACATAGTGCTAATTTAGCATGTTTTCTATTTTCAGAGTGAAAAATTAAAACCAGAAACCAGACCAACTATTTCACATAGTCATAAAGCTTTAGGCTCCTCCTGTTCTGTAAAAGGCAACTCTTTACCTTATGCTAGTATTTGTCTATCCTTTTCTCCATGTAATAAACACCTATTTTTCTTCTGTGGCTGATTTTATTCAAATCTTTCATCTGACTGCATCATGGGTTCCCAGGCTTCTTACCCGCAGATTAGGATGATACTAACACATGTGGAATATGGCACATAAAACTCTCTGTTGTTTGGCCACCATGTAGACGAGAGAATCTAAAGAGATCTGGAATCCCTCCCATGTGCAAAAAAAAAAAAAAGTGTTACTAAGCCAAATCAAGTCTATCTCCAGTCTTTCAAAGGATTGTTCTAACCAGTCCTTTCAAAGGATTGATCTAATCTAGGGTGTTTTAACCTCAAAAACATCTACATCAAGTCCATGAATTTCCCTGACTAGTTTAAGTGAGCACATCTTGTGTAAAGGCTTACAATGCTTACTTTTGTTTTACAAGGATTAGCGTACTCACGGTGCGTTAGAGAACATATCGTCTAACGGTGGTGGATCTTAGAGGTCACCCCAACAGTCTTCAGTTTTGCTAGTTTATTCATGTCTTATTGACGATCGTGCGCTCAGGCCTTGGCTGTGTCCTTTCACGGTGGGTACGGCTGTTCCTTCCGGTGCTGCTTCTTGGTCTTCAGGTTCTCTTACTGCTTGTTGAAGCGGTGGTGCATGGCACAGACCCAGGGATTTATACTTCTTGCCCTTAGAGAATTTCCTGAGGTTCTCTTTCTGGGTCTGGTTAATGACAGTGGGGACATAGGCCGTGCATTTGCTGGCCGCTCGGGTCTTGGAGAGCTTGGAAGCCTCGCCACCTATCGCTTTAGCGACGTGTAGCTGAGACAGCGCCACCTTGAGGTGCTCCGTTGTTTCAGCTGCTTCTCCTTGCTGCCAGGGTCTCAGGACCTTAATCTTGGCCACGGTTGTACAGGCGGCTGCAGATGACTTCTTGCAGCGAAAGAACAACAGTCTCTTTACAAATAAGAAACAGATGCTTAAAGAAGTATGACTTGGGTACGGTGATTCAGCTAGTTAGTGACTGAGCTTCCCACATCACTGTTCCACTTACCAGAGAATCCCAAATCTCCATCTGACTTTTGTCAGAAGCTAATGAACTCAATTTTTAAGCTTAAATTTGTATGAAAAGGAAGCTTGACCCAAGGAGGAATAATTATAAAGTAATAAGCGGAATACACTTTAAGATAAGTGTGTATCAAGTAAAATACAAAATGTTGTTAATATGCTACGCTAAGTCGCTTCAGTCGTGTCCGACTCTGTACCAACCCCATAGACGGCAGCCCACCAGGCTCCGCCGTCCCCGGGATTCTCCTGGCAAGAACACTGGAATGGGTTGCCATTTCCATCTCCAGTGCATGAAAGTGAAAAGTGAAAGTGAAGAAGCTCAGTTGTGTCTGACTCTTAGTGACCCCGTGGACTGCAGCCCACCAGGCTCCTCGGTCCATGGGACCCTCCAGGCAAGAATACTGGAGTGGGGTGCCATTGCCTTCTCCAGTTGTGAGTATACCCCCTGATATTTTCTTGTATGATGCCAGTGGTACTCATGCCATACTCTGGAGAGCACTCCGCCAGACCTCAGTGTTTCTGATCTGGTCTTCGCATGTTCACATTACAAATACTCATGATATAAGGTGGATGGCAAAAGCTAGTGGAATCTTTGGTAAAAGCACAAGAGAATATTTGGACATCAGCCTTTGCTATCATATTTTACATGCTTTTCCACAGTCTTGCAACTTCAGCTCTCTCTTCAGGAACCATGTGTGTGTGCATGCATGCTAAGTCACTTCAGTCATGTTCAGCTCTTTGTGACCCCATGAACTGCAGCCTGCCAGGCTCCTCTGTCCATGGGATTCTCCACGCAAGAATATCGGAGTGGGTGGCCATGATCTCCTCCAGGGACTCTTCCCAGGGTTCAAACCCAAGTCTCTTATGTCTCCTGCATTGACAGGTGGGTTCTTTATCACTAATGCCACCTAGAAAGCCCATGGAGATACATTTGGGGAGGGGGGGTTGCTACCTTGGGTCTTAGTTGCAGCAGGGAGGATCTTTGAGTGCAGGCTCTAGAGCACTTGGGCTTGGTTGCTCCGCAGATTGTGGGATCTTAGTTCCCCAAACAGGGATCAGACCTGCATCCCCTGCATTGCAGGGTAGATTCTTAACCACTGGACCACTGGGGAAGTCCTCCCATAAGCTTTTCTAAAGTGATATAAAGACCATGCATGAAAAACCTGGTTTCTTGGTTTGTTGTTAACACTCTTGTTTTACAATGAGTAACTGGGTAAATAGCACTCTGAGAATAGAATCATGATCTTGCAGTCAGGCTGTATTATATTCCACAAGTATGTCAGAGAGGTAATTCCATGGATAAATAGAGACAATATTTGCATTTATTTCAACCTAGACCTAAGCAGTCTAAGTTGTGTGCTTATATCTTTTGAAGAAAGACACTTAGAGAAGAGAATAGCATTAGAGTCTGTAACCTAAGGGTTAAGGACGCATTTAAACCTTCCTTGATTTTCACACTGATTAACTCCTGGCATTAAAAAAATATCAGGAATATTAAGAAATAGTGAATATTATGACAAAATAGGGGTCTCATATGCATATAGTGGATATTAAGTCTAACAGTTTTAATTTCTCTATAAACATACATTTTCCATAACCTCAATGGAAGAATTTATAGGTATCTAGAGAAAAGAATATCATAGAAAATATTCCTTAGAAAATTATAATACTGTTTGTTTTTTTCTTAAACTAGGATTGGTAGACAAAGATGGGAGAATTCTTCTATAGTTAACAGATTTCTCAAGCAATTTTTTAAAAATTTATTGATTTAAATGACTATATTTATAGTTAGAACTACTTAAAAGTTATATGTTCTGGTTGACTGGAAGAGATATTAATATTGAAAATTATGTTAGACTAAGATCTTTTAATTTTATATTAATCTAAAGTTTTATAGTACTATATATTAGTTATAGCTCATTGCTTTTGATTATGCAACAAATTTTCTTGTTTTATTTTTTAAAGTTCTTACAATTATTATAATATTGTACTAGTAGACCAAACTAGTATCCTCAAAGGGTTAATTCTCTGCAGCTGAAAATTCCTAACCATCATGTTGACTTTTATTGAGCACAGAAAATCAATTTGGTATGTGCCCAAAGTTCACAAATCCTATAATAATTATGGATTTTTTTGCTTTCATGTTTTAAGAAAATAATTAAGGTACACTGTACCTTACACAGGACAGTTTTAATGATCTCAAACCATGATAGACGATAATGGGAGCATTCCTAAGGCAGTGCTTGTGGTACCTTAAGGAAGAAATTCTACTTATTCTTTAGAAAATATTAACCCTTTGATTTCTGGTTCCTCTGCCTTTTCTAAATCCAGCTTGAACATCTGGAAGTTCTCAGTTCACATACTGTTGAAGCCTAGCTTAGAGTATTTTGAGCATTACCTCACTAGCATGTGAAATGAGTATAACTGTGCAGTAGTTTGAACATTCTTTGGCATTGCCCTTCTTTGGGATTGGAATGAGAACTGACCTTTTCCAGTCCTGTGGCCACTGCTGAGTTTAATAATAAACTCTGAAGCCAATATAATTGTGTTACATCTGAAGAATATGAAATAAAAATTATTCACCTTTGTATATTCTGAATTAACAGATAGAAATTTTTAGCAACACGTTAGTTCAATCTGAAACACACTAATCCTATGACAATATTTCATGATCCAGAAAGTTGAAAGTTCTCTCTCTTCTCTAGCATATTTTATAGTGCTTTATATCCATCAAGTGAGCAAAAAATGTACTAAAAATCCT